GTCTTCACAGTAGATCAGCCCTCTGATCAACTTTGTGACCCTCTACTGGACCTGTTCCAACAGGTCCGTGTCCTTCCTGTGCTGAGGACTCCAAAGCTGCACGCAGCGCTCTGGGTGAGGAGCGAGAGAGGTCTCCCCTCAGCTTCCTTTTCTCCAGGCTGAACACCCCCAGCTCCCTCAGCCGCTACTCACACAACTTGTGCTCCAGACCCCTCACCAGCTCTGTTGCCCTTCTCTGGACTTGCTCCAGCCCCTTGATGCCTTTCTTGTAGCCACAGGCCCAAAACTGGACATAGTATTTGAGGTGAACACCTGAATATCTGAAACAGCCCCAGAGCAACCCCCTAATCTCTAAGCAAGATTAATTCTTTTCCCATATTAGATCTCCAAATCAATGTCTCCAACAGAATTCCATACATCCTCATGTGACAATTACCTGCAAAGCACCCACTTAGTGCATGTCCAAACCCACGAAAACCCTGGAGAGTAGAAAGAGCAGAATTTAACATGACAGTTTATAAGATTTGGTGCCAGTTGCAAAGTCACCTTCAGTGCCCTGCCCTGCCTGCATCGTTTATGGAGACGTGGGTGATGCAGTCAGGGGCTGCATCTCACCTTAAGGCCTGTGGCTTCTCGGATGATGTGAGTCTCATGTACTGCAATATCCAAGATAGGTGGAGATGAATCCCAACCGTTCCTGTCTGTGGCTGGTTTCATAAAACACCTCCGGGAGTCCCTGTCTCTCTTTAGCAACTGAAGAGGGAGAATTTATGACAAAAAACAGATGAATGGAATCCTTCCCCTGTCACTCCACTTGTACTTACCCAGTTGTCCAAACAGGGCAGCCGCCTTCCCAGCACAAGAATTAATCCAGAATAAGGTAGACTGACCTCTGCTTTGCCGCACCATCACTCCTGTTCTAACAGCACCCCATTTAGTCACATCAGATGTAGCTGTGAGACCTGTAGGCCACCTTCTCTGGGATGCAGGGATGTATCCAGACACTGCAGTGCAGGGTGATTAGTTCCTGCTTGGGAGTCATCAGGTTGCCCTACCTTCCTCGCTGCTCACTGAACATGGAACATTGAACACTAATAAAGTAATAAAGATATCACACCAAAAGTGTTCTATGGGGACTGAGATAAGAACAGCCAATCACTTATTGGAAATATCAAAGTCTACAAGGAGCACCAGAGACAGAGAAGGGCAAGTTTTTTAGCGTAGTGCAGCAAAGCCAACACTGGTGCAGCTCCCTAAGTTATATCAGGTTTGTGTCAGAGCCTGTCACTCATTTGATGGTTCTCAGGGAGCAGCATCTTCAGGAGAGCAAACAGGATGGTTTCCCATCCCCCAAACCCAAGCACGGGAGTGGGTGAGCAGATTCTTCCTCCTTTCTCTCGCATCTCAGAGCGTGGACAGAGAGACTGATGAAACTCAGAGCAGAGATTCAAACTGGTGTGTTAATTAAGGTGGCCATCAAATTTTGCAGCAAGCAGTGAGGACTGAGCTGATTTTTTCCCTCTTGCATATCCCGTCACAACTTCCTGGGAGTGTGTTAGACTGCGAGAAATTCCCAGATGGTTAACTGAAGTCTCTGGAGAGGCACAGGTTTTCTCAGTGTCTAAACTCAACCACTTGAGCACTTTGCACCTTCAGAAGGCGCAGTCAATGGCAAGTGCCATCTGAGAGGTATCGGATGGGTTTAGGACAGGATTTCCCTTCTTCGTGTACTTTCCTCCTGTGCCTGTTTCAGGTCAGCTGTGTGATCGTCCCACATGTGTGACAGCAGGGATGGACCAGAGGAGATGCCTCTTGTTTGCTGTGGCACTGCTTACAGCCATCCCTCTCTCAGGTAACCGTTCATGTGTTATTCTGCTCATTTCTGAGGGATTAAAGTCTGCAGGTGATAAGAAGTGCTCAAGCTGAGGGTCATGCTCTCCTGAAAAAGTCTCATTTTAACCATAAGAGCCAGAGCTGCCCTGACTATTTGCTATTGGTCAATCCATCCCTTTCCAGCCTGAGTTTCCATTTCTTGGTGGAAATGAGAAGCCCCAACCCAAGGGAGCTCTGCCACATCTACCCCTGCACAGGGCCCATAGCATTTCCCTGCTGCACAAACAGTTTGCATCAGCACAGCTGCCCCACTGAGGATGACACAGGGTTGGAAAGGGGCAAGGCAGGCTGGGAAGCTGGATGAAATGTCTCTGTACATTCTTTTAAACTTTTTTTTTGCCCCTCTCCCCCAAATAATCTCATCCTATACCACTTCTATCACCCTAGCTTCTCCCCCCCTTCTATCACTTTGGGCTTTTCAGTTTTCCCTGCCCTCATTTTGCCAGCAAGAAAATTTTTTTTGCCCCTCTCCCCCAGATAGTCTCATCCTATACAACTTCTATCACCCTAGTTTCTTCCCCTCTTCTATCACTTTGGGCTTTCCAATTTTCCCTGCCCTCATTTTGCCAGCAAGAAAAGAACAAAAGGAGAAAGTGAGTGAATGAATGCTCCAAACAAAAACTTCATTTATATATCTGTTATAAAACCTAAAGAAACTTTTATAGAAACTGAAGAAAAACACATTAACTATTTTCATCAAACCATTAATTATGCTTTTCTAAGTTTTTCTGAACCAACAGTTTCCCCAAAACATCTCCTTTTGGGTTTTGTTTTTTTTTTCATTTCTTTCCATTGTTTGGGATCTTTCTCTCATGATCTATTGTCTCATGACCTGAAAGTGCAGTAACAGAAGGGACCAATGTCATTAGTGAATATTTGCAACTTTCAATTTTCTCCCCTTTCTCTGGATTGGGGATAAATGGTTGTCCCAGTCCTCTGTGTTCTTCACGCTGGCACTTTTCCTGACTGATTTCAACCAGATGCTCACCCAAGTTTGGTTTCCACAGAAAATTTTGAGGTCACCTCTCCCAAGAATGTAATGGGAATTGTTGGCCAGGACACAATCCTTCCGTGCCACATCTCTTCCACAAAGCCACTGGAGAACATTGAAGTGCAATGGAAGAAAATCACAGACAGACATGTGGAGGACATCCACACATACAGGCAGTTTGATGGCAAATCAACACAGAAATACCCTGGGCGGACATCATTGCCAGCAGATGGATTTGCCACCGGCAATGTGTCCCTTACACTGAAGAGCGTCCAGCCAGCAGATGAAGGAACATACCGCTGCCTCGTGATGTCCAGGGACTGGAGCGCTGATGCAGCCACTGTGCTCAACATTGCAGGTTGGAGATCTCATGGGCTAGGGGGTGTAGGGGTGAAGTTTTTACAGAGGGAAAGAAGTTATCTGGAAGTGCACTGTCCCCCAGCTGATGCCCCACCCATAGGACCCAACATGTCACCTCCCCACTCACATCAGCCAGTGTGCCACATGGCACCTGCCTTTTGCTCTGATGGGATACCTTAATTCTAAGTCACTGAGAGGTCTCTAAGGAGCCAAGAAAAGTTCAACCCATGTGTCAGCACCCAGGTGGGAATCCAGGGAACTGGCGATCTGACCAGCTCCATGAGGTTCATGGTGGTTTTAGGCAAGGAAGGAGTTTAAAATTTGAATCTTCTGGGAGAGACGGGGCCTGGATTTCAACATGCATGTTCAAAAGGATTTCAACATGCATGTTCAAAGGCAGTGTCATTGAACGGTGAAATGGAGCTTGCAGGAACAGCTTGCTTAAAGCTCCTAAGAGACTGGGGTGAGTTCCCATGCCAAAAGATGTCCTGCGGGCTTCATGCCTCGCCCCTGTTGTGGTGTGTGTGGGGCTGACTAGCTGCAGTAGTCACTGCTGGGTAGGTGTAAGGCCACCTGAGAGACATAAAAGTTCTCAGGATACCTGACTTGCAGTGATGTGAATGGCTGTCTTCACTCTTGTGATTTCCCAGCTGGTGAAGGAGATGTTCTGCCCTGCCAGTTCACCTCCAAGCTGGACAGTAGGCATCATTTGTGCATAAGTATCTATAACATCAGGAGGAGCTGGTTAGCATGGACTCACTGATGAGAAAAAAGCATCCCCTTATCCAAAGGAGATTAGAGCATCTTTTGGGATAGGAGAGAGAAAAAACCGGATGTTGTCCATTGACTGGGAAAAATTTCTAGGAAATCCAGCTCGGACTCAGAATCTGACATAGATATGTATGTGGTGCATCCCACACGGGAGAATCATAGAATCATAGAATTGCCCAGGCCGGAAGGGACCTCCAATGGTCATCTAGTCCAACCTCCCCGCAGTCAGCAGAGACACCCCCAACTAGACCAGGTTGCCCAGGGCTTCATCGAGCCTCTCCTTGAATATCTCCAGGGATGGGGCCTCAACCACCTCCCTGGGCAACCTGTTCCAGTGCTCCACTACCCTCACAGTGAAGAACCCCAAGTGTGTGGTTCCCCCAAGAAGCTTTGGTGCAGTCCCCAGGCAGTGATCTTTTAGTGCCAGCCCGAGCTAGGAAGATGCTAGGGAATAAGCTGAGTGAGCTTTACTGTGCTCTTTTCTGCTTTCTATCTCCTCAAACTTGGACAAGGCTCCTACAGATTCATATTTTAAAAAAAGATATAAAGCCACACGTCTTCTGTCTGCCTGTTCCAAGAAATAGCGGGGAGCTGAGAGGCAAGTGCATCCCACAGAATTGCCTTTTCTCAGCCAAAGAAAAGTTGGCATATATGGCAGATAGAGTCTGGGATCTCAGAAAGATGATTTTAAAGATGAGGTTAAGGACTGAGAGAAACTGGCAGGACATTGGAGCAAACTCTGGATTAAGCAAGAACTATGAATCCAAGGTAGAGCTGCTTTCGTGGAAACGCATTTCTCCCAATAACAAACTCTCTTGCCTTTCAGGTACTGGTGAAGTTTTCATTGAGATGCTGGGCCCTCAAGGGCACGGGCTTGAGCTCGCCTGCAGATCACATGGATGGTTCCCCAAACCTACTGTCCAGTGGGTTTCTCAGAATAAGCACAGCCTGAATCCGGACACTGAAATAAATCAGGACAGCCACCAACTCTTCAGTGTGCTGAGTCGAGTGGTGGTTACAGGAGAGGAAGTGGGAAAAGTCACCTGTCAAATCCTGAACCCCCTGGTGCAGACTGAGAAGAAAACTACTGTGCAGCTCTCGAGTGAGTCACATCATCCTGAGAAGTCTTTGCTGTCCGTTCTTGATCCTAGAAGCCCTGAAAGGGCCTTTTCAATGACAGAGAACACAATAGCTCTGCAGTCCAGCTACACAGATCTCAGACCATCATGAATAACTGCAGGGTGTCAGTGAGAAATGGGAAGGGTCCTTCCTGCCCTAGATACCGTACCCATCCCTAGAGAAGGCAGCTCTGCTCGAAAGTGCAGGACTGTGATTAGTTCTCCATTCATCTCTACAGGAACTCCTTGAGTGGGTACACAACTTCTGGGAAATATTGCATCTTGCCAGATGACACTCAGATATTTTCTGTTCACAGGTGCTGTTTTTCCACGTGCCTCTCCGTGGGTCCCTGCCTTCTGGATACTCTTCACTTTATTTCTTCTCACATTGGCTGCTGGTGCTTTTCTGGTCTTTAGAGGTAAGGGACCTTTGTTATCAGCCTCCCTGAAACCTGCCTGTGAGAGAGAGACAGTCCCTGAACAAGACAAAAGAGCTCAGACCTCCTTCCACCCCACGCTCGGCACTTGTGGGGGTGGACATACCCACGCAGGGTGGGAGATATGACCCAAGTCCTGCGGAAGGTCTGCACTCAGGGATCAATGTGGTCACAGTCCCACCACTGTGCAAAGTGGCCTCTGTCTCAGCTGCCCCGACCCAATACCATCACCCTGGAGGGTTCAGAGCAGACAAGGTTCAAGGTGGGAAATGGAGATGGCTGATGTAACATGAATGGTGAGATTTAAAGTGGTTACAGAACCACAGAATCACTAAATTGTAGGGGTTGGAAGGGATGTCTGGAGATCATCCAGTCCAAATCCCCTGCCAAAGGCTGTGTCACCCTGAGCAAGCTGGACAGGAACACATCTAGGCGGGATTGGAATATCTCCTGAGAAGAAGATTCCACACCCTCTCTGGGCAGCCATTCCAGGGCTCTGGCACCCTCACAGGAAAGAAGTTTTTCTGTGTGTTCAGATGGAGCTTCCTGTGTTCCAGCTTATGCCCATGGTCCCTTGTCCTGACACCGGGCACTACTGAGAAGAGCCTGACCTCATCCAAGATTCTTTAGGCCACTTATATTGAGGCTGGTGATACAACAAGAACAACGGCAGAGTGGCAAAATCTAGACAAAGAGCTCATCTTCTTCATACAATGGAACAGGCTGGGCCAAATAAAAGTTCTTCTTATGTTCTGCCCCCATCCCAGTATGACATGTTCACATCCTCCCCTTGACCACCCAACTTCCAGTGACGTGTCCTGGCTGAATTCAGATGCTTTTTCCCATCCAATCCACACATGGCATCACTATCCCCTTCCTGGAATTTTCTTTGTGCTTCAGAACTTATTTCACTCTGTTCTTTGAACATTACAGCAAAACAGAGGGCATCCAGGAGAAAATACCGGGAAGCTTTATGGGAGCAAGGTAAGGCAGATCTCTTTCTCTGAGTACCCACTTTGGTGCCCACTCACAAACACCTTCCTCCCATCAGTTGGAGAGAGCTTTCCTTGCAGGCACAGAGCAAAGCTGAGACACTCGCCCTCTTCTCTCAGCTGAGGAGTTTGTCAACATGTGAAAAACACTGCATTCCCGAGAGCCCCTTTGGCTCTCCAGCCACCAGCAGAGGAAGACGCCAGCTCCTTCCCCAGGACACTTTGCCATGAAGTGGCTTCAAATCCCCTCTGCTCTCATCCTTTCATCTGTCACAAGCAGCAGGAGCACAACCCTCGGGAGATCTCAGTTTCCTTTTCCCAGGAAGCCAACTGTTCAGGGAAGGATGTGGTAGTTCCCCACATCCAAATCACAGAGAGAACCCACCACCTCCTTGCATTAGTGTGGGACAGAAGGGACAGAGTGGGTGTCAGGCGATGACTTAAGAACAACCCCACCAGCAATCCATCTTCATCACTCTTGCCCTCCACCAAGGTTCCCTCTCCTTCACATCCTCCTTTCATTCCCATAACCAGGTCCCAAGAGGGAAATTGAGGACAAGGTGTCTGCAGACCAAAATCCACACCTGCAGCCATCAGCAGCACCCACCTCACACAAATGGAGATGCCATGGGCTGATCTGGCTCCCCCAGGGCACCACCCTCAGGAGGGACATCACCCCACAGTCCCTTCAAGCCCTGCCACACTCCCATGCAGACCTGATGCAGGGACATCTGAAATTCCTGCTTCAAATCCTCCACAGGGAAAGCAAAGATGTTTTTCTCCTCTTTCTGTTGCAGAACGGGGTGACCTGAATCTTCGAATCGGTAAGAGACCATTTCCAGTGGGCAATGGGAGGGGTGTTGCCATTGTGGAACAGAGACAGAACTGCACTGCCCTTGGCAATGCAGAGATGTCTCTGATGCTGTACCCCGGAGTTAGGGATGGATGGTGACCAGTTATCCTGCTCTCTGGTCATCATTCTTCTCCCCGGGTATCTGTCTGGATCCAGCAGTGCCAGTGTCCTCTCACTGACCAAACTGCAGCCCATAACACTCCCTGTTTCTGTTTCAGATGCACTAAGCAGTGAACAGGGTAAGTCAAGGCATCTTCCTTTCCTCTGCCTCTTTGCACACAAGTCTGTCTGTGGTTGGGAGCAGCGTCTTCCCTGGACCCCACAGTCCTCGCAAAGCAGAGCCCAGACACGGCCTTCTGCCCCATCCCCCTGGGGAACCTGGGTGAGCTCCTGCTGGAGGACAGATCAGGGACTCCAGATGGCATGAGCTGAGACCCAGGTTGTCCCACAGCAGAGTGAGTTCTGCAGGGTCAGAGAGCTTGGCTCTAAGTTTGTGCTTTCCTCATGGGTCAGCTGGGGGTGTGTGATGACCATCCTGGAGGTGAGAGCACCACATACATGTGGGAAAGCCATGCTCAGCGTTGACTGTCAACAGAAGCCTACTTTTTCCTCACACCACTGTCCTCTCTACATGGCAGGTTTCAGCTAGGCCATGGCCACACAGCAGTCCTCCCTCCTCCATCCCAGCTGATGCCAGGACACAAGGCTTTCTCCATTGCTTCTGAGATACCACCCTTCAGGCACAGGGGGGCACTGAGCCAAAAATGTGGGAGGGACATGGACCCAGCATGAGTGTTTGGGCCTTTGAACACACTGTATTGCCTTTGATTTGGGTTTCCTTTTTTTTTAACAGTGTTCAGAAGAGCTCGAAGCCACATGGGTAAGTGTGTGGAGGTGGAATCAGACAGGAGGGCTGGAAGTAAAGGAGAGGTCTGGGCACTGGGGGCAAGTCCCCTTGGTTTCTTCTGCAACAAGCTACCCAAAACATTGCTCTCTGCTAAGCACATGGACATGGGCTGGATGCTTCCCTGGGTCTCGCTACACCCATGGCCGAGGTCTCAGAGGGCAGAGCTGGGAGCAGCAGGCTTGGGAATGAAGCTGTCCTGCTTTGCCTCTGAGGAAAGAGGCACCAGCCTCGGGCTAGAAGCCAGGCTTAGTCTCCAGGCTGAGCTGGCAGCAGGAGCTCTCCTTCCAGTGCTTTCTCTAGGAGGCACCTGGTGCCTCTTCTCATGAGGATCTCTGCTCCTGGCCCTCTTGCCCAGTAGCCACTAATGGCTCCTCCTCTCTCTCCCCAGTGCCCATCACCCTGGATGAAGCACACAAACACTCGGAGCTTGCTGTGTCCTCTGACCGCAGAACAGTCCAGCACAAGCCACCTGCCCAGCGGTCCATCACCGAGGGCCAGCTCCCCGTTGTGGTGGGGAGGGAGGGCTTTGCCTCTGGGCAGCACTACTGGGAGGTGCTGGTGGGAAATGGTCTGGACTGGGAGCTGGGGGTGCTGACGGAGCCTGTGAGGGGGACACTGAAAGAGAGGAGGTGGGAGGAGCTCCCTGAGGATGGGGTCTGGTCGCTGAGAAGGGTGAGGGGGGAGTACTGGCCTGAGGAGGCCAATGACAAGATACTGTCATGGAGCAGTGTCCAGCTACCAGTGGTTGGGCTGTACCTGGACTTAGAGCAGAGCACACTCTCCTTCTACAACCTTGGGACTTCATACTGCATCCTGGAAATCCCCATCAAAGGCCTTGAAGGGTCCACCAAGCTGTACCCCTTCCTCAGGCCAGGCCTTGGTGAGGCAGGAGAGGAGGGGAAACCCCTCACCATCAACCACAACACAGACTGGGACTTCCCAAACAGTCTGGTCCAAAATAGTACAAGAACATCTGACCTGAGCTTCACTAAACCTCATGGATTCTGTGAAGAGGGAGAAGGGAGAGGGTAGGGGAACAGCAGAGCTGGTCAGTGAAAGTCCTGCTTTTCTCCATGCAAACCCTGACAGTGAGGGTCAGACAAGTCTGGACTGGGAAATTCACCAAGACCAAGAACCCCACCTGAGCATGACATTTGCGGTGCCACGTGCTCCATCCCCTCCCCAGGGGAGACATGGGAAGTGATCAACCTGGACCTGTGGATGCACCCACAGCTTCTGCAGTGACCACTGCCTTGGTTTCACCACTCCCACAGGTTTCTACTCCATATTGCTCTTCATGAAATGGGCAATAAAATAGGAAACAATGTTTTTTCTTGTGGTGCTGAGGGCTGGGATGTTGTTCTGACTCTCACTCTCTGGGACCTGTGGGTGACATTTAAAATGCTGATGGAGGGTGACCCCAATCTTTCCTGCTCTGATTGCTTTAGACTCCCATATTCCAAAGTTTCCCTGAAAGGCAAATGCAGGTGTTTGGGGCTCCCCACAGCCTTTGGCTGCATTTAGATGATGTTGTTTGATGTATGAGCCAAGTCTTACTAGAGATCCCTGGTCCACAAATGTGGCTCCCACAGGTTTCTACTCCATATTGCTCTTCATGAAATGGGCAATAAAATAGGAAACAATGTTTTTTCTTGTGGTGCTGAGGGCTGGGATGTTGTTCTGACTCTCACTCTCTGGGACCTGTGGGTGACATTTAAAATGCTGATGGAGGGTGACCCCAATCTTTCCTGCTCTGATTGCTTTAGACTCCCATATTCCAAAGTTTCCCTGAAAGGCAAATGCAGGTGTTTGGGGCTCCCCACAGCCTTTGGCTGCATTTAGATGATGTTGTTTGATGTATGAGCCAAGTCTTACTAGAGATCCCTGGTCCACAAATGTGGTGCTTGCTTTTTCCCCTGAGGTTGTCCGTCTGAGGGTGCCTCTTCTTCCCATGAGGTGCCTGGAGGAGGGCAAATACCCCAATTTTCTATTGCTCTGCAGCACAAATGCAAGTGCAGGTCCCCATATCAGGAGCCAACCCCAGTTCTGCCCAGCACGATGCAGACACAAGTGCAAATGCTGACAATGAAGCCACCACAGAGCAGTCTCCTAGGGATTTTTATTTGGATTTATTTGGATTTTTCCTTGTCCCACAGCTCTGAACTGTCCTTCCCACCCTGCTGTGCAACATGGGACATCTGGGGACACATGGGAAGGTGGACTGACCCCTTGGGTTCTTCTGGCTGTACCCCTTTGGGGCACGTGCAGGTATTAGGTCAAACCTGGTGTCACAGTTCAGGCCGGGCTGTCCAGTGACAAGACAACAGATGTTTTCTCCCATCTCTTGCTTCAAGGACAGGAAGAAGAGAAATAAGAGATTTATGAATTTAGAAAAAAACCTAAAGTACTTTAATGAAATGTTAATAAAAATTAAAATAGGAAATCATGAAAAAGATACAATAGAAACAAATCTATACAAATCCATATAAAGCTCCCAGGGAGATGTCACCGGCAGGCACCAGGAACTGGGGAAGTTCCAGACTGGACTCTGTGATGGATGGGAACTGCATTTCAGCTCTTGACTCAGGAACCTCCAGGTCAGGATCAAAGGCAGGTGAGCAGACAGGGTCCTCCTGTGAGGGAGGGTCTGAGAAGATGTGGATGCACGGGCTGGATGAGCAGAGAGTGAGGGGGATTGAAAAGTGGCTGAAGGCCAGGCCCAGAGGGTGCTGCTCAGAGGCAGAAATTCTTGCTGGAGGACAGTAAATAGTGGTGTAGCCCAGGGGTCAATACTCATTCCCGTCATTTATTACATCTGTTTTAGAGATCTCAAGATCTCAGTGATGTTTCTCTGACAGAAACAGAAGAAGAAGCTGGTGAGACAAATGATCAACCCTCAGCATCTGAAACCCACACAGAAATCAATTCAGACACTCACATGTAAGATATAAATACTGAAAAAAAGATCAAATCTTTCAGTGTATTTGCTTAAATACACTGTATTTAAATTTAAATACACTGTATGAGCCAATTAGGTGTGATGGTAGAGGAAGTGCAAACGTTGCCCGTGTTGGATACAAATATAACGTATGTCAAAATGGACAGCTGTCAGGGAGACCCTCCCGTTGAGACACGAGGTTCAGAAAGGACCCCCTGGCTTTCTAAACTCCTCAGAGAGGAGTCTGCGTGCGGCTGGATCCAATCCTAGTCCCAGACTTGGTCAATGGTTTATGTCTAAAGGATTATATATGCACAATCAATCCTTTACATTACTTAGCTAAGATTTCAAAGTTTAGGATGCTCTTAGTCACTTACCGAGAATCTGTTGTGGCAAGGAATCTCTCAACCTCGAGGAGAAGAACCTTAAGCGAGTGTCCTCACCAAAGGGGAGATCCTGGCGTGCAGCCCGCTGCCCAACAGGAGAGCTCCAGGGGCTCTGGGACTGTCCACTATTTATACAGTAAGATAATTGACCTATAGTCATATTTTCATGGCAACAAAATTTCTAGGTCCCCCCTCCAGACAGTACTTTGAATGTGCTTGCCATCCATCCCCCAAAGTCCGGGTGCAAGTTCTCACAGCTGCTGTTGTGATGGCCGTGGTGGCCAAGGCCGGGCAGGAGCCAGTGTGGGGGGAGGGGAAAAACAGGGAGAACACACCACCACAGCGGTGGATGTTGTCTACCTGGACTTCAGCAAGGCTTTTGACACCGTCTCCCACAGCATCCTCACAGGTAAGCTTAGGAAGTGTGGGTTAGATGGATGGACAGTAGGGTGGATTAATATCTGTCTGAAAGACAAAGCTCAGAGAGTGGCACAGAATCTAGCTGAAGGTCTGTAAGGAGTGAAGTCCCCCAGGGGTCAGTACCAGGTCCAGTCCTTTGCAGTATTTTCATCAATGACCTGGATGAGGGGATGGAGTGTACCCTCAGCAAGTTTGCTGATGATACAAAACTGGGAGGGGTCATTGACACAATGGAGGGTTGTGCTGTCACACAGCGAGACCTGGACAGGCTGAAAAGCTGGGCAGAGAGGAACCTGATGAACCTCAATAAAGGCAAGTGTAGGGTGCTGCACCTGGGGAGAAATAACCTCCTGCACCAGGACAGGTTGGGGCTGACTTGCTGGAGAGCACCTCCAAGGAGAAAGGCCTAGGAGACCTGGTGGACAATAGGATGATGACCATGAGCCAGCAATGTGCCCTCATGGCCAAGAAGGCCAATGGTATCCTGGTGTGCATCAAGAAGAGTGTGACCAGCAGGTTGAGGGAGGCCATCTTTTTCCTCTGCTCTGCCCTGATGAGGCCACATCTGGAGTGCTGTGTTCAGTTCTGGGCTCCCCAGTTCCAGAAGGACAGGGAACATCCTGTGGTGTCCCTCAGGGCTCAGTTCTGGGGCCAGTCTTGTTCAATATCTTTATTGATGATCTGGACAAGGGGATCGAATGCACCCTCAGTAAATTTGCAGATGACACCAAACTAGGTGGGAGTGTTGATCTGCTTGAGGGTCGGAAGGCTCTACAGAGGGACCTGGACAGACTGGATCAATGGGCCAAGGACAATAGGATGAGGTTTAATAAGGCCAAGTGCCGGGTCCTGCATTTTGGTCACAACAACCCCAGGCAACGCTACAGACTTGGGGAAGAGTGGCTGGAAAGCTGCCCGGAAGAAAAGGACCTGGGGGTGTTGGTGGACAGCCAGCTGAACATGAGCCAGCAGTGTGCCCAGGTGGCCAAGAAGGCCAATGGCATCCTGGCTCGTATCAAGAATAGCGTGGCCAGCAGGAGGAGGGAAGTCATCGTGCCTCTGTACTGGGCACTGGTGAGGCCTCACCTTGAGGGCTGTGTTCAGTTTTGGGCCCCTCACTACAGGAAAGACATTGAAGTGCTGGAGCGTGTCCAGAGGAGAGCCACCAAGCTGGTGAGGGGCCTGGAGAACAAGTCCTATGAGGAGAGGCTGAGGGAACTGGGCATGTTTAGTTTGGAGAAGAGGAGGCTGAGGGGAGACCTCATTGCCCTCTACAACTACCTGAAAGGAGGGTGTAGAGAGGCAGGTGTTGGCCTCTTCTCCCAAAGGACGAACGACAAGACCAGAGGAAATGGTCTGAAGTTGGGGCAGGGGAGATTTAGATTAGATATTAGAAAGAACTACTTTACTGAGAGAGTGGTCAGGCCCTGGAACAGCCTGCCCAGGGAGGTGGTGGAGTCACCATCCCTGGAGGTATTTAAGAAACATATAGACATGGCTCTTCAGGGCAGGCTCTAGTGCCCAAGGTTATTGGTTTATGGTGAGGTGTTGAGTGTGGGGTTTAGTTGGTGGGTGCGGTGTTTTTGGTGGGCGTTTGGTGTGGTGTGTTTTGTATTTGTTTGGGTTTTTTTTGTTTTGTTTTGTTTTGTTTTTTGTGGTTGGACTCGATGATCTCAGAGGTCCCTTCCAACCACTAAGATTCTGTGTGAACTGCTGCAGAGGGTACAACAGAGGGCTACAAAGATCATTAAGCGCCTGGGGTCGTCCCGTATGAGGAGAGGCTGAGGAACTTGGGTCTTTTTAGTCTAGAGAAGAGAAGGCTGAGGGGGTATCTGATCAATACTTATAATACTTAAAGGTTGGGTGTCAAGAGGAAGGGGCCGGTCTTTTTTCAGTGATTTCTGGTAAGAGGACAAGAAGAAATGGGCACAAACTTGTACATAAGAAGTTCCACTTAAACATGAGGAGGAATTTCTTTACTTTGAGGGTGGCAGAGCACTGGAACAGGCTGCTCAGAGAGGTGGTGGAGTCTCTGTCCCTGGAGACATTCAAAACCCGCCTGGACAAGTTTCTATGCAACCTGTTCTAGGTGGACCTGCTTTGGCGGTGGGGATTGGACTAGATGATCTCCAGAGGTCCCTTCTAACCCCATATCATTCTGCGACTCTGCAATAGTGTTGAGTAAGTGAACTGATGCATAGTTGAGAGGTGGGAAAATCAGATCACTGAGCACCAGGAAGTTGAGAATAACTTTTCCAAATTTCACATGTTCAGGTTAAGCTGCTGTTTTACTAGGGACCCCTGTGCATGGGCACCTGCCTTTTCTTGCTAATGGTTGCGTCCACACAGAAAGGTACATCCCACTTTCCCAGATGTTGGGCACTGGTGCTATAAAACATGTTGAACTAGTCTTCAAATGGAAATGATTACCTTTTTAATCATGGGTTTGTTTAGGTATGATTTTTTGGTGTGTTTTGGTTTTTTTGTAATGAACCTTGCCTAAATGATGGTTGA